TGATCGGTGTTCAGATGTGAAGGCAGCTTGGCATTCCTGGTACCAAACGCTGTTGGTCATGGTTTTTATCTTCCTTGTATATTACTGGGAACACAGATCTCCTCATGGGCATGCTTTCATTTCACTCTGCTAAATACTGAGGAGTACAACTGCTGGTTGACAGGAGAGAGATGTTTAATTAGGTGGGCAACCACCACGCTGTTTTCCAAAGTGAGTTGAACCCACTTAGACCCGTGCGCGCGCCCCCGGGGAGCCCCAGCTGCCCCCATCCTTGTCGCTGCACATCGGTCCTGCACATTTTAGCCCTTTTCATGGGTGTGGAGCAGCCTTCCGTCCCCAGAGCTTTTTAAAAAAGGCACACGCGATAACTTGGTGTCGTCTAGTGTCTCCATTTCTTAAGTTCAGGCTTCCTTGAGCCCTCCTTGGAAGCCGCCGCTTGGGTCATGGTTGCAGGCGTGTGTGCCTGTCCCCCTGCACCCAGGCTGGGTGGGCCGGCGGGTCCCGGGGCAGCTGCGGGATGCTGGGGCGGGTTAGAGCACCTCCTTCGGCCTAGGAGCCCTGTTGTCAGATGAGTATTAGCGGGCGCTGTGCCCTGCCCCCTCTGGTCCCCTGCCTCCCTGGGGCTCACGTCTGTCTCACCCTTCTTCTCTCTAACACAGGGCTTGGCAAGTGTTTTCTTAAAGGACGAGAAAGTAGACATTCCAAGCTCTGCTGGCTACGCCTCCTCTGTCACAACCACCCAACTCTGCCATCCTGTCGCAGAAGCAGCCCCAGACAAAGACGTCAGTGATGGGCGTCGCCGTGTGCCAATAAAACTTTATTTACCGAAATAGGCCCGAGAGCCACAGTTTGCCAATCCCTGCTGGGGTGCTCAGGAAATGTCTTCCAGCACAAAGACCGCCTTGTCCCAGAGCCTGTGCCTAAGGATGGGGGGCGGCCGAGTGGGAGTGTTTGGTGGTCTTGGTTCAGCCCGTCTCAGAATTCGCACACAAGTCAGCGAAGGCTGTGAGGAGAGAGGCCCCGGCTGGGGGTTCACACTCAGAGCAGACGTTAGCGAGTGGTGGAAAGTGGGGTCTCCCCTGCACCCTATTGGTCACTTTCCCAGTTGGGCTCATTCTGCAAGTTGCCATTATTGTCCCATCTCACAGAGGAGCAGAGTGAGGCCCAGAAGGGCTGCTGCTCGCCCAAGACTCCATGCCTGCTGGGCCTTCTGTGCACAGCTGTTGACTGAGCAGCTTTGGTGGCAGTTTCTGGGGAAGACAGGCATAGGGCTGCTTGGTCATTCATTCATCATGAGCACTTGAGCCCCTGGTTCTGGCTAGGTACTGCACTGGGTCCTGGAGGCGCCCACAGTGAACGGGGGACAGACTGTTAGCCAGGCCGGCGGCTGTAACGGCCTCACAGCTCAGAGACTGCACTTACTATTTGCTCAGAACACAGTGCTTTCCAGAGGGACCTGGTCCCTATTCTCTGGAACCTCTCTGCTCCAGAGAGTGAATCAGGCCTCCATCCCCACCCCTGCCAGAGTCTCCCCACCCCCGCCCGTCAGCCAAGGACGGGGACACGGAGAACAATGGGTGGGTGATGGCCATCAGTCAGGCCTGGAGGGCCACAGGTCCCTCTGATCCCATTCCACAGGCCAGAATCACGGCCACACCGACTTCCATGAGGTTGGGGAGTGTCGTGCACTGTGACCCTGGGGAGGAGGGGAAACAGACGCAGGTGAGCCCCAGTGGTCTCTGCCACAGCCCCATGCTCTGGGAGGGCTGGGGAAGTGAGCATCTGAAGCGGGTCAGGCCATATGTGCCGCCCTGGGAAGATCGGCATTAACTGAGCATTGCGTGTTCCAGGCTGCTCCCGCTGCGGTCTGTGTTTGAGTGGTCTCAGTGTCCTTGATGGAGTCTGTCCACTGTGCAGAGGAGAAACTGAGACACAGTGCAGTGAAGTCATTTGCTTTGGGACACACAGCTCGGAAGAATGGGGTGGGGGGTGGACCCAGCCCGTCCGGCTCAGGTGGCAGTCTGCTCAGCTCTGGAGCATGTGTGACAGGGGCTATGGGGTCCTCCCTGGTGAGCGGCCAGTGTGGCCAGTCAGAGGGGGGGGTGGTGCTCAGGCGTTTCTCCTGTGAGTGTGAACAGGGAAGGAGCCACAGGCCCCCAGTCTGGCTTTGGGAGGACACCCACTGCCCTGCCCCAGTGTGATTTTCTGCCGGGGATCTGCTTCTTGGGCCCCCGGCTCCATGTCTGGCCGCTCCTGCTGGTGGCTCACTGCTGGAAGGGCCCGTTCTCACAGGGGAAGGGTGGGAGTGGCCCAGAGCCCCAGCCCCGCCAGCCCACATGGGTCTTTCCTGCTCACGTTCCCCAGACCAGAGGAGAGGCTCATTTCCTGGTGGGACAGCATTTTCTTGAAGAGGGAGTGGCTCCTGGGGCCCAAGGAGGGTGGGTGTGCCCAGGCATCCAGTCCAGCTGTGGCCGCGGGACAGGGGTTACATGGGGCAGGGGCCTGACATGGGGGAGTACCAGGGGCTCTGGTGTGCCCCTTGGCCACAGCCAGGCGTTGTCTTGAGAATGATACAAAATGCAGGGGATGTGTCTTCTGAGAGTGGGGGATCGAGGTGGACGGTTGGTTCATGCAGAGCCCTGGACCCTTGTCCTGTTCCCTGCGTGTCCTTTGCGTGCTCCCTGCACGTTCTCTGCCTCCCCAGGTTCCTGTAGCAACTTGCGTCACGTGTGGGGTCTTCACGTGTGTCTGTGTGCTGCTGAGAGCACTGTGGCGGGAGGCTAGTCTGTGGCTCTCTGGCCCCCACCCAGCCCTCAGGGAGTCATGGAGCTGGGGCACGTGGCCTTCTCCCCACCTGATCTCCCCTACTGCCCCCTCTCTGGGGTCCCCTGCCTGCCCGTCCTCCCTGTCCTGCGAGCCTCAGTACGTTGGAAGCCTAGGTTCTGGCTGCATTCAAGCCCTGTGGCCAAGATAGCTCCCTGGGTCAGTGCTCAGGGCAGCAGGGTGGTGTCCTATCCCTTAGTGTCCCCCAAATCGTCACCCTGGGCCAGTAGGAGGGAGCTCAGGGACATGGCTGTGGGGGCCGTGTAGACACCTGGGACCGGGCTGCTGGAAGGGGGCCCAGATCACGTCGGGTGCCTGACCCGTTTGCATTCTAGGGGTCGGGACAGGCCATGCTCAGTTAACAGACAAAGAAGGTCCACACCAGCCTGGCAGATGGTGTGAAGAATTGAGAAGGGCATCATAACGGGGGATGCATGAGGGGGCCTCCAGCTGGTGGCTGGGGCCCTGCGAGGGGGACATTTGCACAGAGTGGCACAGAGGAAGGGGCCGGCCAGGCGTTGGGGGCTGGAGCAGTGCCTGGGGAGGAGCCAGGAGAGGTGGTGAAAAGTCCCCGGAAGGTCCCAAACAGAAACTGACAGTGATGCGATGCTCTGGCTTCCTGTGGGTGTGGGTGGAGCAGGCAGAGGGGCTGTGGGGGGACAGCAGGGAGTCGGGGGTGGATGGTGGGCATGTCCAGGAGGGTGGGGGGATGGGCCGGTGGTCGGCCCCGCCCCTCTGCTCACAGCTCTTCTGAGCAGGGCAAGGCCCCAGAACCAAGGCTGAGGCCTCGGGCTCCCTGGGCTGGCCCCAGTGGAAGGCTGATGTCAGCCAACCCCACACAGGGTGGAGGCGGGGACTGGGGCCCCAGTGGGTCTCAGAGCGCCAGCCTCCAAGTTCCTGGGCAGGAGCCTGTGTCTGTGCGTGGGGTCACTTCCTCCCCCCAGCCCCCCAGACTCACCAGGAGTCCCACCCTGCACCAGCTGCCCTACCCCCTAAACACGCTTCGAGGTGAGGGCTGGGAAGATCCCCAGCCCCCATGGACAGGCGGCCCGTGGGGCTCGGCACGGGGCCCACCGGTGACGTGGCTGTTTTTCTCCTGAAACTTCTCTATTCTGGGGGCCACTTAGAAGCGACCTGCCTTCCTGGCCTCCACTTCCTCTGCTGGACCCCAGAGCAGGTCGTACGCCCCATGGGTGTCGCAGGGCTGGGGATAGGGACGCTGTGTGCTCGGCTGCCAGGTCTGGAAAGTGAGCAAGGCCCGTAGCCACCAGGACCCCTGTGCTCACCGGCCCTCACGTCCCTCTCAGATCTCACAGCAAGCCCGCCCTTGTCTCCTCAAATAGGCAGGGAGGGAGGCTGGGGCCCAAGGCCAGGGCCAGTGCCCTGGGGCCACTGCAAGGCCAGGGCTGGGGCCGGGCACCCCCAGGGCCAGAGCTCTAGAAAGCAAGGGTGCCTGGTGCCCAGCCCCTAACACCTGTGCACACACACATGGGCACATACCCTGTGACACGCCTTTAGTGCACACACGGGCACACCCAGACAGGCATACACCCTGTGACAGGCCTCTCGCACAGTGCTGGGACCTGTGGGCCGGCCTTTGGTGTCTGAGGAGAGGCCTCGGGTTCCTGGCCTCTGGGTTGAAACCAGCCTGAGGCAGGAGAAGCTTTTTTTTACGAGTGGAAGGTGCTTCCCTCCTTCGGCCCCCAGCCCCACATTCGGTTACCAGTACGGGGCGTGCCATGTTCCACTGCTAGCCCAGGTCAATGGGAAAAATCGCCAGCATGCTTCCCCCTGTCCTGGAGCCGGAGTGGGCCACGCGGCCATCTGCACCCGGCACGTTGCTGCGCACACACGTTCCTGATGCTTTTTGTGGTTGAGTGAGATGTCAGGGTGTGTCCAAGTGCATGGCCAAGCCAGTGTCCCTGTCATGCCTGACATGTGGCGTCAACCACGCGGCATCATCTAGCACGTCTCCCACGGCCACGGGTTGTCCACCAGGGTGTCTGCGGAGCTGGCAGGCACCAGGGTCCTCGTGTGGGACCCGAGCCCGTCAGCCTCCGGGATCTCCTTGCCAGCCCCCCTCGGCACAGATGGGGAGACTGAGGCCAGAGAGAGTCCCGGCTGTACCTCATTCCCTGGAGCGGAGCCTCCCTGAGCATCTGGCCTTTGCCTTCCAGATCCCGACTGGGCTTCCTACACCTTGGGGGTGTTCATCTGTCTGAGCTGCTCTGGGATCCACCGGAACATTCCCCAGGTCAGCAAGGTGAAGTCTGTCCGTCTGGATGCCTGGGAGGAGGCCCAAGTGGAGGTATGGGTCTGCGAACAGGTGGGGCTGTGGCAGGTTGGGGGAAGACCCTGAAGTCCTGCTGCTCACTGGGTTCCCTCAGCCCAGCCCCCCAGCTCAGACACCCCAGAGGTGCTCGAGGCTGCTGACTGGGGCCAATGCTCTGGGGCATTGGGGGGTAGTGGTGAGGGATACAGGAGTGAGGGCAGAGGGGTGAGAGGGAGGGACTAGGGAGGCAGAGGGGAAGAGGGGTAAAGGCACAGGGTGGGGGGAGGGGAGGGGGTAGAGGGTGGATGCGTGAGGGAGGGATGGGGATAGGGATGTGAAGGGGGATGGGTGGGGAGTGAGGGTGGGGGGAGGGGGGAGGGACTGGGGGGTTTGGGGACAGGGCATGGGGGGAGGGGGCGGCCTGCAGGGGTGAGACGTGTCCTGTGCCTTTGGCCCCCAGGTCACCTGTCTACGGCACACCACTTGGCGGCCCTCCGTGTGTTCACAGGCCGCTGTCATTAAGGTCACCTGTAGGACATTTAACCCTGAGAAAGGAGCCTGTGGCTCTAGCCGTCACTTGTCTGCTCTGCATCCCTGCAGATGTGCCCACTGTGGGCATTTCTGTGGAAGGCATTGGGCACCGGGGGGCCTTGGGGGTCCAGGTTCTTTCACCAAGCTCCCCGTGTCCAGGGTCGCTGGCGTTCTGGCTCATCTGGGCCTCGCTCCTTTCCTTGTTTTGTCTGTGATGAGCCCCGGGAGGCTTCCCTGAGGCCGTGTGCACACAGGGAGCGTGTGACTCTAGGGGGCACCCCCAGGTGGCCCGCCCTGAGGTGCCCCTGAACATGGGGTCCCTGTTCTCTCTGCGAACGCAGATCTATTGAACCGGATGCCTGGAGGTTCAGTGACCCCCAGGCAGGTGCTCCTGTGTCCCTGCAGGACCACAGGCAGCTCCAGGAAGCCTGTCCCTGCACGTGGGAGCGCAGGGTCCAAGGCCATGTGACTGCAGTCCCCGCCCTAGTGGCTTCTGTGCCTCCCCCACGGGAGACCCTTTGCAGCATCCCTGCACCCTGGCCCCTGGGTCCCTCCTCGGCTGTGTCCCTGTGGGGTTGTCATGTGGCATTTCTGGGTCTTGAAGGACACTGAGCACCTTGTGACATGCTTTAGAGTCTGTGGCTTTCTCTGCGCGCACTTGGCCCCTTGCTTTCTCGTGTTCTTCTATATTTGGGGATTTAACCCTTTGAGGTGGTAGTAGGAGACAGTGTTTCTGGGTCGTCTTTTGACTTTGCTCGTGCTGGGTTTTGCAGTGGAAACTTGTTGACTTTGATGCAGTCTCATCTGTTGGTCCTCTGTGGTTTTCAGGGTTCTAGGGTATTTTGATGGGCCTGCGCTGTCCCAGGCCGGTTTGACTCATGGCATCACTGAGGCGGAAGGCGTATGCCATGTACGGTGGGGGCTTCACTACCCCCCACCGCTGCACAGCCACCCCCACTGCCCAATCTAGGAAGATTTTCCCCAGACGAGTCCCCCAGCCCCTCCCCCTGCCCCCCACAACTGCCGCCCGGCCCGCACTGGAGCAGGAAGGTGTGCTTTCTGTCCTGTCGCTGCCCCCCTGCCTCTGGAGCACCACGTGTCTGGGCGTCATCCACAGGGTGGCAGGTGTCCCAGCCACACGCCTTTCTGTCGCGGAATAATTCCTGCTGTGTGGGCAGACTATGCTCGGTGATGTACCCACCCATGGGCGGTGGCCGCATGGGTCCTCTGTTTTCCACTGCCGTGAATAATGCTGCTGGGAACTGCCCTGGGCCAGCTCGGCACGGCGTGGCTGTGTCTGGTGGGGACGAGCCAGGCTGCCCGGCACAGGGGTGTGGGCCCGCTGGCCCTGCAGGACAGTCCTGGTCCCCCCCAGCCCTTCATGGGCTGGTCTCCGATTCCAGCCTCCCTCATGGCTGCGGGTGGGCCCTGCTGTGGCCTTGACTTGGGTCTCGCAGGCAGTGAGCGGTGGGGAGCAGCTCTTCCAATGGTTGTTGGCCGTCTGTGTGTGTCCTTCGGAGACATCACCGTTCAGACCCTTTACCAGCTTTATTTTTAAAAAAATATTTGTATTTATTTATTCAACAGACAGAGATCGCAAGTAGGCAGAGAGGCAGGCAGAGAGAGGGGGGAGGGAAGCGGGATCCAGAGGCTGTGCAGAGAGCCTGACGTGGGGCTTGATCCCAGGACCCTGAGATCACGACCTGAGCTGAAGGCAGAGGCTTAAACCCATTGAGCTACCCAGGCACCCCCCTTTACCAGCTTTAAAAACAGGTCGTCTTTCTATTCTGGAGCTAGGAGCGTTTACGCAGGATCCTCTCTATGTTCTGGACTCGAGTCCCTCATTGGATCCGGTATTTGCAGATAGTTTTTCTCCTTCTGTGGGTTATCTGTTAACTGCCCTTTTGAAAGAAAATGTTTGCAAAGCTAAGCGTGCCGTGTATGTACTCCAGGAGCTGTAGGGGTGTGTGTTTTGTTACTGAGCTGAGAGTCACATAAACCCACCATGTTAGTGAACAGCCCAGTGGCACTTACCATGTTCACGGGTGGGGCAGCCCCCACCCATGTCTGGCTCCACGTATCCCCAGCACCTGCAAGGAGACCCAGTGCGTGGCCCTCCGGCCCCGTAGCTGCCTGGCTGCATCCTGTGTCTGGGCAGACGCCCCTTCCGGCCACTGTGCGCCAAGACAGCCACGCACTGTGGCCTTCAGCGGCTGGCGTGTCCCATCTATTGTAATGTTTGCGCGCCCTCGACAGCGTCCCTTGAAGCACAGAAGGTTTTAACTTTGATGAAGTTCCATTTTTTTTTTCTTTTGTCGTTTGTGCTTTTGGGATCACCTCTAAGAAACCATTTCTTAATCTGAAGCCAGAAAGATTTCCTCCCGTATTTTTCTAAAATCATTTCTTAAAATTATACCACGGTTTCCATCTACTACTCTTACTGTTTGATTTTGGAAATCATGTCTTTGATTCAGCTGGAGCTTATGTGGCTGAAGGGTTGCGTCCAACAGCACTTTTTCTTTGCTGGTTTCCCAGTTTCCTCCCCCAACAGTCTATCAGCAAATGCGCCCCCCCACCCCCCGATGATCTGTTTCTGGATCTCTTACTGGTGGCATTGATTTAGCTCTCCAGTCCGTAACAGGTCTTAGTATCTGGTAGGAAGAGTATTTGCAGAATTTTCTAGAACATTTTTGCTTGTTAATTTTGAAATGAACTTTAGAATCATTGCTAGCTTTAAAAATTCTTTTTTTTTTTTTTTTTGACAACTTCAAAAACCATATAGATCAACACCAGGAGGGAACGTGTGTCCCACCCTTCTGAGGCACGTATCTGTGCAAGATCTCTGGGGCGTCCCTCGGGGGCGCGGATGTTCTATCTCTGTGGAGACTTTGAGCATTTCTCATGAGACTGGCTCTTCCATATTTTGCCAAGATCTTGATTGAGGTTTTAAGATAGAAAAGCAACTGATTTTGAAATTCTAATTTGGTACCAGCCTTTTGCTGAAGTGACTTATTGTCGGTGATTTTTCCCAGTTGACCCACTTGGGTTGGCCATGATCACGAACCCATCATCCTCAGAGCTCAATGCCTTTAGAAGAAAGGCTTTCTCTTGGGGGTGGCGGTGTCAGGAAGGAGGCAGGATTGGAGCAGAAAGAGTTCCTTCTGCTTTCCTCGTTTTTGAGGACACCATGCGTCAGGCCCCGCTGGTCCTCTCCCTGTTCCCCGCGCCAACCCAGCCAGAGGCATCTGCTTCAACACACCTAGCACTGCCCCCAGGGCCTTTGCACCTGCTTTCCCCCCACATCTTGTGTAGTACCTGCTCCAGCTCCCTGACTCCTGTCACTCTGACTCCCCCTCAACCTTGGGGGAACACAGACCTTTCTTCCCCAGGCCAGTTTCCATCTCAGGGCCCTCACTGTGCCCATTACTCAAGGGCTGCCTGTGGGGTGTGGGTCAGAGGAGTGGAGAGCGGGCCTCGCGTGAGGCAGGGATGGGGCTGCGTGGGCTGAGGGAGCAGCACTGCAGCCCAGGGCGGTGTGAGGAGCACGCGGCCCACCCTCCCCAGAGCCCCTGGCAGAACTGCAGGTGCTCTCACTGAGGCCATTGCAAACTGCTTTCCCTGGGGCAGGAGGGTCTGGGGGGTTGTCAGGGCCCTGGGGTCGGCTGGCCCCTGCCTTGGGCCTGGGCTCTGGGAGCACTGACGCCATCCTCCCTCTGCAGTTCATGGCCTCCCACGGGAACGACGCTGCGAGGGACAAGTACGAGTCCAAAGTGCCTCCCTTCTACTACCGGCCCACGTTTTCCGACTGTCAGTAAGTCATGGGGGTCTCTCCGGGGCTGGTGTCAGAAGGACGCACTGGGAGGGGCAGTGGCTGCTGCTTGGGAGCTGGGGAGGGCAACCAGGTCCCCAGAACCTGCCACTGGGATGGTGGCTGGTGGCCGGAGGGAGGGAGGGCAGGGAGGCCCTCCCTTTGGGTCTCAGCCTGGGTCTCCAGGGGCCTCGTGTGCCCCCAGGGGGTCAGAGGAGGACACCGAGCAGCTCAGGACAACCGAGCAGCTCAGGACGGTGTCCAGCCCTGTCCAGGCGCCCCTTCTCCCAGTACTTCTCGACCTCCCGGAATCCCCTCCCTCCCTGGGGGCCACCCCCCAGCACAGGCCCTGCCCCTTGGGCATTCCCCAAAGCCCCCGACTGCCCTGTGTCTCCTGGCTGGAGTCCCTGGCGGCTCAGCCACGGCTTGGAGACTAACGGCCCTTTTTGGACAAGGGTGCTTCCAGAGCCCAAAGGGGTTGAGTGAGTTTCCCGGGGTGACACAGAGCCCAGCAGACAAGCTGGTGAGTACCTGGGATGTGGGCTGGATGCTGGGAATTCCCTGCTCCTGTCCACCTGCCTGGGGGCGGGTTTCTCCTTGGAAAGGAGGGTGAGGACCTGGCCCACCTGCTTCACGGGCCTGGGAGATGCTGCTGCTGGCTGTAGGGTCTCTGGAGACAGGACACCTTGTCAGGGACCCACCCTGGTGCAAGTACTGGGTCACGTCCTGAGCCTCCCCCTGACACCAGCCACTCCTGGACTCAGGGGGAAATGAGAGCCCGAGGCCCCGCCTGGCCGTCTTGTTCCGAACCAGCGAGGCCGGGCAACTATTTCTGCAGCCTGAATTTGTCACCTTGGCCGCAGGCTGTGCTTTGAGGTCTGCCTGTCTGCATGTGTGCCCTGTATCTCCCTTTGGAGTGGGTGACAAGGGACAGCCTGACCCCAGGCCGTGTCCCGGCCAGGAAGCCCGGCAGGTGCCTCTGTGTCCTGGTCCCTGAGACGAGCTCGCAGAATCCCTGCCCGCGCCGTGTCCAGGTAACTGGGCAGCCTGGGAGGGAGCAAGCGGACCCCGGGCAGTCCTCGCCTTCCAGAAGCCTCCACGAGGTGAAGGTTTGTGGGAGCTGAGCCTGCCACTGTCCCCACACTCAGTAGGTGCTTAGGTGTGCCCAGGCCAAGCTCCCGAGGCCCAGGAGGACGCAGATGCCTACAGGGCTGGGGTCCAAACCCCTTGCAGGAAGCACTAGTTGATTGGGCAGCGGCGAGGCCGGCGCGTGGTAGCCGACACTCCGAGCTCAGTGTGGGGTGCCCTGTGTGGTGGGAGGTGTCATTTGAATGCCTCTGTGCAGCCCCCCCCCCAAAAGGGCACTGTTGGAACAGGGGTCTGCAGCGGGCTCCAGGGAGGCCCCCTGGGGGTCCTGAGGACAGAACCATGGGATGTGTGCCCTTCCCCCACCTCCCATCTGGGGCTTGGAGCCCACGGGTGAGAAGGCTGGGGGACAAGGTCATGTTTGTGTCAGGCAGTGACTCAGAGGCGGGGACCTGGGCCCCCTTCCTGTGTTCGCCCCACTGCCCTCGGGTTCAGCTCTGGCGTTGCGGGAAGAAAGTCAGCAGGGCGCCTCTCGGTTTTGCTTCTGCGGCGAGCCCGGCCCCCCTGCTTTCCGCGCAGGGCCCTGGGGGAAGGCTGGAGCCCCCGGCGGGCAGGGCTCCCAGCTGGACGGGCCTCTGTGCCGGCTTCCTGGGGCCGGGGGGACGAGAGCCCAGCTAGGCCGGCTCGCACAACAGAAATGCACCGTCTCACCTCCTGGGGGCCAGTGGTCCAGGTGTGCGGTGCTCTAAGCCCAGGAGGGGACTCAGGCGACGCGCCCCACTTGGCTGTCCCGTGTCGGTTCAGACCCTCTCTCTGGGGTCGCCCCCATTTTCTGGCCTGACACACTGCAACTCGTCAATCCACAACCGTCTTCCTTCCAAACGGACCCATCTGCAAGGGGCTGGGGGTTAGGACTCCAACATAGTTTAGAGATCGGTGGATGCAGTTCAACACATAACGGCCTCAGAAATCCGGCGGATGAAATGATAGGTCTGGGTTCGCCTTGGAGTGTTCAGAGGGCGGGGCGCAGCGGGTGGGGCATGGCCGGCGGGGCCGTGGGCTCACCAGGTGGGGAGGGTGTATGGTCAGTTTCCCCGCGGTACAAAGGAAGGGAAAGACACTACCGGGATGAGCTATCCACCCTGTGGAAGGGGAGACCGAGGCACCAAGGGCAGTGACCTCCCCAGGAGGGAAGGCCCAGGCCTGGGACTTTGGGCAGAGTGTCCTAGAGCATGGGACTCAGAGGCTGATGGAACCGGGGGCAGGAGGGCAGTCAGGAATGGCGGTCAGACGCCCGCACCCGGCACCATAGCCAATAAACAGCCACGTTTTTGTAGGGGTCCTGCTGCAGCTTCGGGGGGTCGGGGGGACGGAAGGGTCTGCTGCCTGCCTGGCGCTGGGGGCACCCCCAACGGGCTGTGTGAATGTGGGAGGTGGGCTCTGGGCGTCAGAGCAGGGCAACTCCACGGCGGGGCAGGGTTGGGGGTCACTACACACAGGGGCGGTGGTCACCTCACTCAGCTGGCCGCCCCCTGCCCTCCCAGCTCCAGGCTACCTGTCCAGCCCACATCCCAGCTCCGCAGCTGCTCTGGGTTCAGGGGACCCATGCTGACCCCAAGACCCTGGCGGGGAGGCAGTGAAGGCTGTTCCCCCTAAGCTCCCAAGAGCACAGGGTGGGTCTCAGGTTCAAGAGCAGCGTCCGCTGGGGCTCTGGGGCTCCCTTGTCATGAGGCTTGGTGGAGAGTGGGAACCCCCTTTGATGCTGGTTTTCCCTGGTGGAGGAGGTAGGGCCAGATGGCTTCAGGGGGTCACCCTGGCCATGTCGGGGCCCCTGGTGACTGAGAGGTTCGGAATCGGTGTGCCGAGCAGGGTGGGAACTCCCCCCTGGTGGCTGCTGCCCGGGCTCCCTCCTACTGTGGCTGAGAGCCTCTGTGCCAGGCTCGGGCAGGGCCTCGGGGACTGGCGTCCATGCAGAGGCACTGGCCTGGGCCCTTGTGGGTGCCCTGCGTGACAGGGTGTGGACAAGGCCACGGAAGGGCCGTTAGCTGTTTGCATCCCACTGACATGCCAGGACTTGGCTCGCACACGTGTCTGAGCAGCCGGGCATGTGGGTCCTGTGTTACGGAGAAGCAGGTGTGGGAGGGGAGCTCCCTCCCTGGGGTCCTCTAGCTAGACCCTGTCGGGAGTTGAATGGTGTCCCCCAATGGGCAGGTCAGGTCTGAACCGCAGGACCTATGAAGGGCCCTCATCTGGGACCAGGGTCTTTGCAGATGAATTAAAGGGCCTGGAATGAGGGCGTGCGGGTTTCAGGTGGCAGAGCTGTGATGGCGAGGGTCCTCAGAAGAGGAGGGAGGGGTGCTGGGACCCAGGGAGGGTCTGCTCAGAGATGGGCTGAGACTGAGGACCCCGGAGGAGGGCCTGGTTCTGCACCTGACCTGGGGCCTGGGGACCCAGGAGATGGTAAATCCCAGGAGAGGGGCTCAGGAGGCGGCTTTCAGAGGCCCCTGGGAGCGCCGGTTGCCGATGGCCCCAGGACCATGTGCACGCCCACAGAGCTGGGCCCCCAGAGCCTGATTTGGCCGCACGGGCCCCGCATGAGGCCTGAGGTGGCCCGTGTGCTGCATTCTGTGTGCCTGCCTGGGTGGGAACAGGGGCCGTGCTGGGGTCCCAGACACACCTGGGTGTGCATGGTTCAGAGCCGGAGGACCCCTGAGGGCTTGAGCGATCTCTGTCGTGATGCCTGCCAAGCTGACATGACTGGGATGTAGGAACGACGGCCAAGACCGCTGTCTGGGGACGGGAAGGGTTGGCACAGCTGTGAGAGTTGGAAATGGGGGCCCGGGGGCTGCCGGTGGTGCTGAGCTGGGGATCAGTGAGGGTCTCGTCAGCACCAAAAGAGCCCAAGGCAGGGGGGCCACGGAGGGCTCTGAGTGGCTCCAGAGAGCAGACCATGGGGGTGGCCCGGGTCAGGGTGGCGGCAGGGATGGGACACCGAGCCCGAGCCCTGGGGTCTGCCAAGGTACAGGGTGTAGAGCATGAGGAGCTGGAGCCCAGGGGTCCATGGAGGGGCCGGGGTGGGGGCCAGGGCACAGCGGTCCTCCTCTGCAGCCACTGTATCCTACCTGAGGGATACAGCCTGAGGGAGGCCTGGGGCGGGGACTGCAGGGGACTGAGCTGCAGGAAGACATGGGCACGATGGGCGAGTGCCACAGCGAGGGTGAACCGCAGATGACGCTCTGTGCGCCAGCTGGTCACAGAAGGCCACACCTGCGGCCACACAGCCCCGCCCACACGGCAGGGGCCCGTGTACTCTCCTGGGTGATTGTGGGACCACCTTGGGAGGGACTGTGAAGCTCTGTATTTGACGCCTTCAGTGACTGCATTCGCTCATATGTGAATTAGGACTTTATAAATTTTTTTAGCAGTCGCTACACCCAACATGGGGCTTGAACTCCCAACCCCGAGATCAGGAGCTGCTCACAGCAGCGACTGAGCCCCCAGGCGCCCCTAGAGCTGATGTGTTTTCAAAGATTTATCTGTTTACTTTAGCATGTGAGCCGGGGGAGGGGCAGAGAGAGCAGCTCATGCAGACTCCCTGCTGAGCTAGAGCCCCACGCAGGCCTCCATCCTGTGACCCTGAGATCGTGATCTGAGCTGAAATCGAGTCAGATGCCCAACTGACTGAGCCCCCCAGGCACCCCAGGGCTGACTTTTTTTTTTAAGGAGAGCTTTTAGTAGTAAAACTATTTGATTGGCAAACAATTTTAAACATGAAAGCTGGCGGCCCTTCAGCTCCCCCTTCCGGAGGTGGTGGACACGCATGTTGCCCACGGGACGCCAGCAGCCTCCAGGAGCCCTGAGGTCCAGCCCAGCATGACGCTCTCTCTCCTCCCAGACTCCTGCGCGAGCAGTGGATCCGGGCCAAGTACGAGCGGCAAGAGTTCACCCACCCGGACAAGCAGGAGCCCTACTCCGCAGGTGAGGCCCGGCACTCTGTGCCCCTGGTCTCTGTGCCTCTCCCTCTGGCCCTGCCTGTCTGTCCCTGTCCCTGGGTCTCTGTCTCTCTCTGTCTCTGCCTGTCCTTCTGTCCCTGTTTCTGTGTATCTCTCTGTCCTTGTCTTTGTTCCTGTCTCTTTGTGTCTCTGTATTTCTGTTCCTCTCTTTTCCTCGGTCCCTGTCTTTGTCTGTGTTTCTGTCCCTGTGTCTCTCTCTGTTCCTCTCTGTCTCTGTCCCTGTCTCGGTCCTGGTACTGCCAGACTCATTTGAAGTCTGGAGGACGGGCTAATTGGTCCGGGCCCGTGTCTGGTCCTTCTCACACCAAGCTGGGTGGCCTGGTGCTCAGGTCCCACAGCCCTCAGCAGCCCAGCTCAGACGGGGCAGGTGCCACGGGGATGGCAGGCTGCACTGGGCACCCTGGCTGGTTGGGGAGGTGGCCCTGTGCTGGGCTGTGTGCAGGGGGAGCAGAAGCTGGTGGGAGGGCCTGGGCCCAGGTGGTACGGAGTGGGCGCGCCATGGGGTCCAGTCATGGAGGCTGGGAGGTGTGATGTGGGCCTGCCTCTGGTCCTGGAGCTGCCCTCTCGGGAAGAAGCAGGGTCTGGGTTCCAGAAGTGGGGGGTGCGCACAGGGCAGCAGCACCGACAGACCTCTCCCCTGCATGATTGGGTCCGTTCCAGGTGCGAGGGCCTGTGAGGGCCAGGTGTCCCCCTCAGCCTCCTGCCTCCAGAGCTCTGGAGGTGGTACTGACCCCATGACCAGCTGGGGTCCTTCCTGCCTCACTGTCCTGGGTCTCCCAGTAGAAGGCATTCCTCTAAGCTCCTGGTGCCATCAGCTACTGTTCCTCTCGGGCAGCGGTGAGACGTCAGGCTGGGGACAGAGGGGACTGCAGGAGGGACATGGTGGTAGGCCCTGAGCCAGGGGCTCGGAGCCGTGGCTTTTCTGTCAGCCCCTCCCTCCCTCCGGGGCTCCATCCCACCTGCTACCACCCAGATCTGCAGCAAGCCACCATCCTGTGGGGAGGTGCCCCGCAGGCCCCAAACGGCTGCTCATGGCAGAAGCCTCCCTGGTGCCCCCCACGTGCCCTCCTGGGGCCCCACACCCCACAGCCTCTGAGGCCTGGCCAGGTGCGTCCAGACCCAAAGCCTGTGCAGCCCAGGGGTGGAAGGGGGCAGGCCCCCAGCCCCACGGAGCTCCCTGCCGCCAGCCCCAGTCCGGCGGAGGGGAGGAGCAGGAAACCCCCGAGGCTCCCTGACCCTGCGGTGCCTCTTTGCGGGCTCCCCCGCAACCCAGCCCTGGGAGAAGCACCAGGGGATTCCTGTGGGCACTTGCTACCGTCAGAGCCCTGTCCCAGGCCGGGGCAGGACATGCCCACCTGGCCCCACAAGTAGGCCCGCCCCCTCCCACGAGGAGGAAGGGAGATGGCCTCAGGAATGGCCCCTGCCCTGGGAGCCATGGGAGGCCCATGGCTTGGAGAGGCCTCGGGGACCTGCAGGGGGCATGGTGGGCGTGGGCTATGCCACCCACAACTTGTCCCGCTGGGCCTCCCGGGAGCAAGGGCTCCAGGCACCAGAGCTGGATGCGAGGGCAACAAGACGGGTCACAGAGGAAAGGCTGTGAGCTCTGCCCGTGGCAGGCGTGGGCCAGGGAGGGAGGAGGGCTCAGCCCTTCTGACAGAAGAGCGAGGTCCACAGTCCAAGGAAGAAATGGGGGGAGCGGGGCCATCAGCGGGCGAAGGCCCCAGTGGGGCAGGTGTGGTCCGGACTGCGCCAGGCGCCAAAGTCCAAGGAAGCTGTGGGGGGGCTGGCGCGGAACGTGCTCATCTGGAAGCATCTTCCCCTGGACGTGCCCTGGGCTGGAGGAAAGGGCCCGGCTGGCCGAGAGCTGCCGGACCCGCCTCCCCTGGTGTGGACGGGGCGCCGGTGCCCGGACTGTAGCGTTCCTGCCCAAGACGCACAGTCTCGCCTTGGCCTTGAGACGCCACACAGACCCCACCGGAGGAACGCTGGGCAGAGTGACTGACCAGCAGTCCTCAGGGGCATCAAGGTTGAGAAGCGGCCGGCGTGTGTGCTCAGAGGCATCGTGGGGCAGGTGGGAGTGGGGATAGTAGTGTCATCCGGGGTGACCGCCCGGCTTGGGGCCCTGCCGTGGCTCCTCTCAGGTCGTGCGCATCAGAGCGCCGACAGGGCAGGCATCAGCTGGTGTCAGGGAGCGAGGGCCATGGGGAGGCTGCAGGGCCCGGGGCTCCAGGGGGCACCAGCCTGGTGCACCCCGCCCTCGGCCAAGGTCGCGGGTGTGTGGAGAGAAGGGCCCCCCCCGCCCTGACCCAGCTCAAGGGGTGACCCTGGAGACAGCTGCTCCTGGCTCCCTCCCCACACTGCCCCGCCTTGATCCACAGCCTCAGTGGCGGCCTTTCACAGACCAGACAATGCCCCCTGTTGTCCCGAGGGCCAGGCCGCCTAGGCCGCCCCCAGTCACCAACAGACACAGCATTTCCTGCCGAGGTTTCGGACCCCCTCCCCCTGCCTCCTGTCTGTGCAAAGCCGGGCTGGTCCCAGAGCTGCCTCCCTGCCCTGCCTTTGTCCTGAGTGTCTCCAGGGTGGGGGTGGGCAGAGAGCCTCAGAGGGCTGCGGAGCCAGGGCTCTCTGAGGGACAGAGCCCGCCCCCCCCCGTGCCTCAGTTTCCCCTTCGGGGTCATCGTTGGAAGCACTGATGTCAGTTGTGGGGTGCCCATTGTCCCTGAGGCGTCCCTCGGGTGGCTGGGGCAGGTCTCGTCAAGGGAAGGTGCTGTGGGGTTCAGCCAGATGTGCTTCCCCGCCCTCCCCAACTGGATTTGCTGTTGGCCACTTCCTGGCAGTGTCTTCTGCGTGGGGACCGGGTTTGGGGCACATGGACTTGGCCCATGCTGGGCCCCTGTGTCAGCCTCTCAGGGAACAGAACCTATAGGCCTGAAACTAGGTCCTGGTGCTTCTGGGGAGGTGATCAAGGTGGGCCTCAGTTTCCCTGGTGTCTCCCCAGGTCCTGGCTCTACGCCCAGAGGACACCTTTCAACCCAGCATCCCCTGGCAGAAGCCGCATAGCATGGGGGCCCGTCTCTTGCCCTGGGAGGGCGACCCATGGTGTGAGCCACCCAGGGAGCCCTCCTGCCCCGCAGAGCAAGGCCACGTGTCCCTGCTCCAGTGAAGAGATCAGTGTATAACTTGTTCATGTAAGGGACAGGCCACGTATGAGCTCTGTCCCACGTGTGGGGGATGGGTGCGCGAGCCGTGACCGAGGCAGGTGTTGTCAGCTGCCGCAGCCCCTGAGCGGCTCCGTGCCTGAGTCCTGCCTCTGCTGGTGCTGTTCCATGGAGCCAGCTGCAGGCGACATGGGCCGCTGTGCCGTCCCCGTGGCTCCATGCGGGGTCGGAGGGTTGCATTGTGGATGAGGACCGCAGCTGTGGGTCGCGTCCGGTTCGAGGCCACTCGGGACACAGGCTTCCACATGAACGTGGGTTTCTGGGTCGTGTGTGAAGCACGTGGCAGTTCCTCGTTGATTGAGACGGGGTCTCGGAGCGACCCCATTGTCCTGCCGGGCCTCCGGTGAAGGGAGCCCCGTGCCTGTGTGTGTGCCTATACCTGGGGCGGGCTGTTTCGTGGCAGGGTTTGGCCATTTCTGGGGGAACAGTGGTCTCCGGTCCCCACGGATGGTGCTGAGGTTCCTTGTGCTTCCTCCAGGTGCTCCTCAGGTGGGCTTCCAGGAGGAGGCAGCCAGGGAGGCCCCAGGGAGCAGGGCGGCCCTCCCAGCTCCCAAGCAGGTGGGCCTGGCATGCGGTGGGTGCTGGCTTGTGGTAAGGCCCAGCGTGTAGTAGGCGTGGCACACCGTAGGTGCTCAGCGAGTGCGGAGTGAAGCATCTGACCTCTGCCCCGGACTGGCCGTTCCTTCGGGAGGAAAGGAAATGGCCCAGCTGCAGGCCTACGTGTCAGGGGGCACCGCTGGGTCCTGTCCAGTGTGGGCTGCTGGGGGAGACCCCTCTGGCAGGGGTGCGGTCGGCAGGGGCGTGCGGGAGGGGGGCAGCACGAAGACCCTGAGGCTGTGTAAATGACAGCATGGAGCCCTAGAGTCCGCAGGGGCCCCCCGGTGTGACAGGCAGGCCGCTGGCTCGGGCGGAGGGCCAAACGGGCGTCCCTTGGATGGGGCCAAGTCAGGGACCCTGGCCAGCGCCTTTTTGAAAATATTGCTGCCGCTGTCGCAGTGCCTGAAATTAGGCCTCCTGGCGGCTGGCTGGCGGGCAGCACACGGCCCAGGAGCCAGACACACTTGGGGCCAGCACTTCCCTCCACCCGTGGCTTCCAGCCCAGCCTTTGCCAGTGGGAGTGTGGGGTGGCCGGCTGTGCTGTGTCCCCACCGCTGGCCCACTGCCTGTCAGGGCCTGAGACGCTGCTGCCACCTGCTGGGCCTGGCAGGCAAGGCGGGCGGCCGCTGGGGTGGGGGTGGCTGGGCAAGGGGGCCTGTGGGCCAGGAGTCCCAGCCAGTGCCGAAGGTCAGTGCTGGCTAGCAAGGTGACCTTGGACCAGGACCTCGCAGCTCTGTGCCTCAGTTTCCCCTCCTGTACAAGGAGGATGCCGACTTGGAAGTTCTTCTGGGGCCACCGGGGCTCACGTGCTTGGCCAGGGCCTTGCCCTGGGCACCGTTCAGAGGTGCTGGCGGGCCCCTCCTTGCAGGTGTCAGGGCTCCGGCCGCTGTGCAGAAGCTGCCCGTGAGTGCTCCCTTGTGTCCATGGCGAGGCCAACCTGCAGGCCAGTGGACTTGGGCTTCAGCCTGGGCAGACTGCTCATGTGCTCGTTCAGGGTAGGCCCCATGTGGGCCTGGGGACCCGGTGGTGGCCCTGCTCCCTGTGCACACAGCGGGGCTGTGCCTGCTGCTGCTGCTGTACGCAGGGGGCCCAGGGGTCCAGGCTCCTCTGGGTTGGGAGGGGACAGGCCCCATCTGGTGCTGTCCCACGACAGACTGAGAGGCACCAGCTGGCCCCTCCCCGATGCCAGGCTGCCGCCTTTTTATGGCCGCATGTCTCGGGAACCGAGAAAATAGCTCCTTGTGTCTGTGGTGTCGGGGGGGCGCTGCCAGGGCTGCAGGCGCGGGGCATGGATCTGGGCCTCGAGGGGGCGTCCGGCACGTGAGCTGGCTGCGGCTGTCAGGGTCTGGGCTCAGTGCCCCGGGCTGCGTGGCCTGCACCAGCGCGGACCGCCCATCGGGTCTAGCCGCCGCCTCCCACTGTGGGCTGGCCTCGGTGGGCGCCGCACAGCACTGGGAGCCCCTGTGATGGTTGGACGGGTTCCCCGGGGTGGGGGGCGCCCTGAAACCCAGGTATGACTGCTGGGTGGTCTGTATGGGAACCACAGACCCCGCCTGTGACCTGCGAGGCCCCGAGGAACACACCCAAGGAACGTGGGTGTCCGCAGAGCTTTCGTCCTGGCGGGCACGGTTGAGCTTGGAGTGCGGCAGCCGCCTCTCCCACCCCAGCCCTGTGGAGGGACAGTGTGGGGACACACAGGTCAAGCTCTTTGGGCACAAGGTACTGGAATGGGCGTCACCGACAGGAGCGTGATGGGAGGAAGTCATGGTGGCACGGCAGCAGTAATCCCTCTGACGGCTGTAGGAACAGCAGGCCACAGGGCTCGTGCCTCCAACCCGCAGCCTGACTGGTGCATCTGAGCTCAGAGCCCCACAGAGTCACGGGCTAGGCAGAGCCGGCTGCTCCCCACACCTCTGGTTTCCATGCTCCCTTCTCCTTCCCCCTCCCAAGTGCGAGGACCCCTGTGATGACCTTGGCCCCCCACCCCCAGACAGTGCAGGACGCTTGCCTGTCCCCAGACCCATATGTGAATCCTATCCCTGTGCTGTCCTGAGGACTTGGCTGTGGGCACCTTAGTCTGCTCCGCACCCACCCTGGCTGGCCACACAGGTGCACCTCACACGTTCGCTGTGGGCCTGCACACAGGGCAGCACACCGCACCCCGTCCCGTATTTGTTACGTCTCCAGAACCCGTATTTGTTACGCCTCCAGAAAGAAGGAAGACACCCCGAGCGGTGGGGGGCAGCTGTAGGAGCAGAGGTGGCCTCGGGTCCTAGCGCCGTGAATGCATCCGGCCTGCGCCCGCCAGGCTTCGCAGCCCTGAGGCCGACGGGTCTGGCCAGCTGGCTGGAGCCCTCCCGCCCACACCCTCTGTGTGGGTCAGGACAACAGCCTCCACTCTGGTCCACTCTGACCCTCTGACCCACGCCCGGTCTCTCCGCAGGATACCGAGAAGGCTTTCTCTGGAAGCGGGGCCGGGACAACGGGCAGTTTTTAAGCCGGAAGTTTGTGCTGACGGAACGGGAAGGCTCGTTGAAGTATTTCAACAGAAATGATGTGAGCGCAGCACAGAGCCTGAGTGGCTGAATGTTGTCCCCAACTGCCCTCAAGCAGTGCCTGGCCTGGAGTGGCTGCCCCCTCCCGTGGGGACCCATCTGTCCACCCCTTGGCCACAGTTGCTCCCTAGGGCCGGGTTTGGTTTGGTAATGCTGGGACTCCCGGGCCTGAGAGGGTCATCCAGGCAGTGAGGGGGAAAGGGCAGGTGGGCTCCGAAGGCCCTGTGACTGGCCAGGCCCTGCCCCACACAGACCAGCTCCAGGTCAGGACATCCCCAGTGACAGAGGCAGAGGGCATCCGCAGGACAGTCTGCCAGCCCCCCGGGTGGAGAGGAGAGCCGGGCTGGCAGGACAGGAGCGGGGTGGGGGGCCACACCAGACAGAGGAGTAGTGTGCTGAAGGGGAGAGGAGCAGTCTGCCTAGGAGTTGAACATCCCCCTTCCTCGTCCCTGGGGAGGGCGATGCTGTTACCCTAGACCTACAGATCAGGAAGCCAGGCCCAGAGACGGTAAGTAACTTCCCCAAAGCCACACAGCACTGCCGGCACCCACAGGCCCACCTGGGGCTCAGGCACGGCCTTGCTTCCAGGCCAAGGAGCCTAAGGCTATCATGAAGATCGAGCATCTGAACGCCACCTTCCAGCCCGCCAAGATCGGCCACCCCCACGGCTTGCAGGTCACCTACCTGAAGGACAACAGTACCCGTAACATCTTTGTCTACCACGAGGACGGGAAGGTGGGTGCCCGGGCTGCTTGGTGGGGGCAGGAAGCTGGAGTGCCCCACCCTGCCCTCCTCTGCCGGGGAGCGGACTTGGAGCCCTCGGGGGAGAAGGCAACAGGCTGGGGCCACGTGTGCCGTGTCCTGCTCTGTGGCCGACACACCCGCCTCCCTCCCAGATGCTCTGCAGGGCGAGGGGGCCAGGAGTCCCCCGCCAACCCCGCCAGATCTGTCTATTCGGCACGGGAGGCCCCTCCTCCTCATCACTCGGTTTTCCATTTTTACCTCCGCAACACGGCCCGTGGGTTAAAGGGCGAAATGTGTCTGCGACATTTTAGAGACAGGGTCTGGCAGTCTTTCTTCATGTGTACAAATAACCTAAAACTCATCATTGTCATGACGTTCAAGCATTATGGGTCTGGGCACATTCATCGTGTAGCTGTTCCCCCACCAGCTCCAGAATGTTCTATCCTGTCCCCGTGACGCACGGATCCCTGCCTGCTCCCCCAGCCCAGGCCCCGCCGTCCACTCTGTGTCTAGTCAGCCTGACGACTCCGGGTCCTCGTATGCTTGGGGCCCCCGGGTGTGTCCTGTCTGGCTGGGGTCCTCGGGGCTCGTCCCCACAGGGCAGGGGTCTGGCTGCTCTGAGGCTGAGCGATCTGTCGTGTGCACGCAGAACAGAGTCTGCTGGCTGCTCCTGCTCCCACCTGGTGGTTTCCTGAAGGCTGCTATGAACTTGGGCTACGACACCTCTGAGCCCCTACGTTCAATTCCTGTGATTATGTGGCCAGAGGTGAAATTGTGGGATCACTTGGCGATGGTTTTTTATTTATTTAAGATTTTATTTATTTATTTGACAGAGATCACAAGTAGGCAGAGAGGCAGGCAGAGAGAGAGGGGGAAGCAGGCTCCCCGCTGAACATGGAGCCCGATGTGGGGCTCGATCCCAGAACCCTGGGATCATGACCTGAGCTGAAGGCAGAGGCTTTAACCCACTGAGCCCCCCAGGCGCCCCGGCGATGGTTTAATATTTGGAGGACCCTCCCCACTGCAGGCCACGACGGCTCTCGTGTTTCCACGTCCTCCAACTCCCGTTTCCGGCTTCGGGCAGCCACCATGGTGTGAACTGCTTTCGTCTGCGCTTCCCTGATGAGACGCGAGCACCCCCTGCACGTCCCGCTCGGCCGTCTGCTCAACTCCACAGCAGGGTTTGTCCGGGTCCCGTTTGGCCCAGTTTGGATTTCCGTTGTTCGCTTCTGGCGTCGAGCTGTAGGGCTTCTGTTTTCTGGATATTGGGCCTGTATCAGATCTGTGCCCTGAAAACGTTTTCTCCCAAACTGGGGCTTGCATTTCACTCTGTGGATAGTGTCCCCTGAAGCACAAATTTTTTTTATTTTTCATGAAGTCCAATTTGTCTTTTTCTTTTGTCGCCTATGCCTGTGGTATCAGACCAACAAAATCCTTGCCATATCTGACGTCATGAATCTCTTGCCTCGTTTTCTTCTAAGATTTCTATGGTTGGGTTCTATGTTTAGGACCTTGATCCACTGAGTTAAATTTATTAAAGATTTTATTTATTTGAGCGAAAGAGAGAGAGCACAAGGGTGGGGAGGGGTGTTGGGGGGAGGGGGAAAGGGAGAAGCAGACTCCCCGCTGAGCAGGAAGCCAGACTTGGGGCTCGATCCCAGGACCCAGAGGTCATGACCTGAGCCACCCAGGCGCCCCCTCCACAGTTTTTTTTTTTTTTTTAAAGATTTTATTTAATTATTTGAGAGAGAGAGAGAGCATGAGAGGAGAGAGGTCAGTGGGAGAAGCAGACTCCCTGCTGAGCAGGGAGCCCGATGTGGGACTCGATCCTGGGACTCCAGAATCATGACCTGAGCTGAAGGCAGTTGCCTAACCAACTGAGCCAACCAGGTCCACAGTTTTTTAATACGTGATGTGAGGTTAAGAGTCCAACTTAATTTTTTTGCCCGTGGATATCCAGGTTTTCCAGCGCCGCTGCAAAGACTGTCCTTTCCTAGTTCGTGTTGATGCACTTTCTCAACAAATGAGACCGATTTCTGGGCGCTCTCTTCTACTGCACTGGCCCATGTCTGTCTTTATGCCGGTGCCGTAGTCACACTCTACTGTGACTTTGTTAAAAGTTCTTCCCGTTTTGTTCTTGTTTAGGATTACTTGGATACTTGGGTTCCCAGATATTCCATGTGCGTTTTGTCAAATATTTTATCAACTAAGATGATCGTGAGGTCCGTTTTTCCTTCATTCTGTTCATGTGGTGTACTGCCTTCTTCAGTTTCATGTGGAGAATCCCTTGAATTTTAGGACTAAATCTCACTTGGTCGTGGTATCTAGTCCCTCATATGCTGCTGAATTCTGTGAGTATCTCGTGGAGGATTTTCGCATCAGTGTTCACAAGGGATACTGGTCCGTGCGGTCTTGTATTTGTGTCGTGTCGGTCTCCAGGCTATGCTGGGCACAATACCAACACCATAACAGGGTGAGTTAGGAAGTGCTCCCTCCCCATCGACTGTTTCGGAAAAGTTTGGGAAGGACGGTGTTGGTCACTAAGGGTTTAGTAGAACTCACCAGGAAAGCCGTCAGGGCATGGCTGTTCTTTGTTGGGAAGTTTTGATGATGGATCCAGTCTCCTTACTGGTTCAGGGGCCCATTTAGATGGTCACTTCTTTGTGATTTGGTCCTGGTGGGTTTTCTGTTTCCAGGAACGTGTCCACTTCACCGAGGTGACCCTGTTGTTGGTGTACAGCTGTTCACAGCACGCTCTCCTACCTTTTCATTTCTGGTAGCAACGTCCCCAGCCTTGTGTCCGATTGTCGTGACTTGAGTCAATTTCTTAGTCCCTCCAGCTCAAGGTTTGCCGATTCACTGATCATCTTCTGTCTTGTGCCCTGTGTACGTGTGGCCTGCAGCTTTTTCTTCCTTGTTTGCTGGATTCCTGTTGTCTTCTGTGTTTAGTTTATGTGCAATGTTTGAATTCCCTCCTGATTTCCTTTTGTGTATCTTCTGTAGCTCTTTTCTTCCTGGTCGCCGTGGGGATTACATTTAACATCCTAAATTTATAATCTTCTAAATCGAATTTATAGTAGTTTAACTTCAGTAACGTGCAGAAACCCTGTCCCTGCACAGCTGTCTGCACAACCCCCTTTTGGTTGTCGGTGTCACAGTGTCTCATCTGTACACGCTGTTGCCCCAAGACAGAGTCGTTCTGTTAAATGCAGCATTTCCTTAGGTTTAAAGAAAGATTTGCAATTACAAACAATTTACAGTAATAGTAGCTTTTAATTCCTGCTTACTTTTTTTCCTTAGAGGTGCTAGTCTATTTTTTTAAAGATTTTGAGAGCAAGAGAGAGACAGGGACAGCATGAGCGGGGTAGAGAGGGGGAAACGTGCCTCTTCTTTGGCAGGGAGCCTGACATGGGAACTCGATCCCAGATCGTGACCTGAGCCAAAGGCACACACTTAACTAACCGAGCCACCCAGGTGCCCCCAAAGTCTTAGTCTTTTAAGTCACGCAAGGTAGGTATAAAGAAAGGTAGAGAACGCAAAGTCGTCACGAAACTTCCCTGAGCTCATTTCTCCACAGAGCTTCCAGTTACTACTGTCCCTCCTGTCATCCCTGTTCCTGGTCGTAGGGGAAAAGCGCTGCTCTTCCCTACAGCACGCGAGGGCAGCGGGAGGCCTCTCGTGTGGACACTTGTCCGTCTAACTCCTTTGGTTTCATTGTGAAGAGGTGTTGTACTTGTCAAATTCTTTCCTTTGCTTTTTCTGCACCTGTTGAGATGGCGTATGGTTTTTAAGTGTTTGTTGAGGCGACCGATCTCGCGGATTGGCTGGCAAATACTGAGCCATCCTTGGATCCCTGAAGAAACCTACTTGGGGTGAGCAGCCCTTTCAGTGTCCTGCTGGATTGGGTTTGCTAGAAGCTGCTGAGGGTCTCTGCATCTGTGTTCATCGGGGTACGGACCTGTTGCTCTTTTTTTCACTGTGCGTCTGGTTTGCTATCAGGGTAACACTGGCCTCACAGAATCTGGAAGCTTTCCTTCTATTTTTTTTTTTTTTTTTTTTTTTTTTTTTTTTTTTGCTATGGTTTGAGAATAGCTATTCACTCTTTAAGTGTTTGGTAAAATTCATTGGTGAAGCCATCCGGTCCTAGATTTTTGTGTGTTTTCAGTTCTTTGGTTACAGATTTCATTTTGTTGCTAGTAATCGGTATGTCGATTTTCTATTTCTTTCTGACCTGGTTTTGGAAGATTACATGTGGTATTAACAGCTTTTAGGTGAGACATGGCTGAAGGCACATGTGCCAATCTTCAGCTTTATCTAGAAGCCTCCACCCTCGTCATCTTTGGGACCCCGAGTCCAGGGTCCTTCTCTGTGTGGGGCATGATACTCTGCTGCTGTGCGTGCCCAGCAGCCTCCCCCACTGTTAGAGGGTTGTGGTATGGCACCTGCCTGGGCTGGGCCCCGTGCCTAGATACAGGTAAGCCCGTTTGCCATGGCTCTGCCCTCTGAGAGTGACTGCACAGTTCGCCAGTAGAGACAGGCAGGAGTCAGAGAATCCTACTTGTACTGAGGGCTGGGAACAGTGACTGTGCATAATGGGGGGCGGATCACAACCCAAGGGTGATGGCAGGTATTGGGATGGCATGTGCAGAGGCCCTGTGGCCAGATGGAACAGGACAGACCTGAGCAGCTGACAAGGCTGAGGCTGGCAAGAAAGGAAGGGCCTTTGGGCTGGGGAGAGCCCGTAGGGCCTGTAGCTGGGCTGTGGACTGTGTCTTTATTGGAGGAGCAGTGGTTTGCTGGGAAGTTGTCACGGCCGAAGTGGAACTTTCACTGACCTGTCCAGCTGCTGCAGTTTCAATGATCGGAGGGAGTCCCATGCTGGGGAGCAGGCAGGAGATGATGCCTCCTAAGCCCAGGAAAGGGACTAGAGAGTTCACTGATGACTGGAATGCGGTTGGATGTACCATGGGTGAAGAGGGCTGTGGGCAGGGCCCAGAGTGTACATCCTAGCCTGGATTGGGAACCGTGTGCACTAGGTGGGGAAGACAGCAATGGGGGCACACTGCAGGACAGGGCTGGTGAGGAGGTGTGGCCAGCTCCCGGGGGTCGGGGGGCATGCAGCAGGTGGGGGTGGCGGAGGAGGCATCATTTCCACTATGGTCTGGTGTGGGATGACCCCGCGAGCAGGAGTGGGCTCCGGAGCCCTAGAGGCGTGTGGGTGCTGGGTGGCTGGCAATGGCCATGTGTTGGCAGGGGAAGGAGGTATTGGGCTCACCCAAGTGGGGCTGACTCCAGCCTCTGGTCAGCGGGGGGTTCTGCACGGCAGCGGGAAAGGGAGGGGCTGCGGGTCCACCCCATCCAGCAAGGGGTTTGGCTCACACAGAGCAGCTCTCCTCCTCTTTCCTTTGGAGATGGGAGGCAGCAGCTCTGGGTGGATTTAAGAATAGATGAGCCTTGCTCTGGGCAACATCTTTGGTTTGTAAAAATAGCCCCACTGGAGAGAAGAACCACCCCATACCTGAAGCCGCATCAGGGCCTGGGGCCGGCTGGCTTGGACATCAGTCTCCCCCCGTTTGTCCCCTGCCCATCCCGAGCCGGTTGGCCCCATCATGGCCTGGCCCCTGTGTGGAGCCATCGCTGTCCACCCAGGCTGGCCCGGGGCCATCCCCCAGCAGGTCTGCCTCCTGTGTTCATGGCTGCCCTCGGCTGGCACACAGCGGGCAGCGCTCAGGGCCAACACCCGCTCTGACCCGCAGGAGATCGTGGACTGGTTCAACGCGCTCCGAGCCGCCCGCTTCCACTACCTGCAGGTGGCCTTCCCTGGGGCCAGTGATGCCGACGTGAGTGCTGGTGGCTTGTATCCGCTGGGGGCTGAGGGGCTGGCCAAGGGCCTCCACGTACCCCCTCCTTTCTTCTGGGGCATGTCAGCTCAGCAGCAGCGAGCCGGTGGGGAGGGTGCTGGGGACACACTGGGGGAGAGTGACCGGGAGGGCCCAGGCCTGAGCCTGTCTTCTGCCCTAGTTGGTACCGAAGCTCTCCCGGAACTACCTGAAGGAAGGCTACATGGAGAAAACGGGGCCCAAGGTGGGTCTGACCGGCTGGCCTGAGCCCCTCGGAGATCAGGGTCTCAGCTACCCAGGGCTAGGGTGGCCGTGGAGGGTCAGAGTGCCAGCAACAGCCCCAGGCAAGGACTTTGAACACATCACTTTGATGTGGATGGCCCTGGACCCCACAACCTTCTGTAAGCGGGGGCCCTGTGGACCCAGGACTGTGGGGCTCTGGGTCGGGCCGAGCCTGCCTCGTGCCTTTGCCCCCTTCCATCGGTCCCTAGAAGGGCAAACTCGGCCCCTTCCCTGCCACGTGGAGGTGTACACATGGTAGCCTCACAACCCAGATGGGCTCTAAGGACAGGAGACCGGTAAGGAGGAGGAACTGGTGTGGTGGGGAGGGGAGGGCATGTACCTGAGAGGAACAGCATGTGCAAAGGCCCTGGGTGCAGCTCCCTGGCAGAGCAGAACGCGGCACCACCCACAGAAAGCACAAATGAGCGAAGGATGAGTGAACGCATGTGGGGGTGCCCTGCCTCAGGCTGACCGGCGGGACCCCGGCACTCTCTGACCCACAGCAAACAGAAGGCTTCCGGAAGCGCTGGTTCACCATGGATGACCGGAGGCTCATGTACTTCAAAGACCCTCTGGTAAGGGGGTCAGGGAGGGTCTCGGCCCAGATCAGCTGGGGCCCTTGCAGGGTGGACATTTCCGCTCCTACAACACGGAGACCAGCTGTCGTCCGCTGGCTGCAGGCAGTGGGGATGGGTCTGGGCTTCCCCCACTAGGAGCACAGCTGCCCACTTGCCTAGGGGCTGCCTGGCCTCTGCCCACAGGATGCCTTTGCTCGCGGGGAAGTCTTCATCGGCAGCAGGGAGAGCGGCTACACGGTGCTGGACGGGCTACCGCCGTCCACCCAGGGCCACCACTGGCCCCACGGCATCACCATCGTCACGCCAGAGCGCAGGTTCCTGCTGGCCTGTGAGACAGAGATGGAGCAGCGGGCCTGGGTGGAGGCTTTCCGGAAGGTCGTGGACAGGCCGATGCTGCCCCAGGAATATGCAGGTGAGTGTGGGTGGGGTGGCAGGGACCGAGCCCAGCACCTCCTGGGTGGCTATGACCGGCTGGACGCCTGTCCTTTTCCAGTGGAAGCGCACTTCAAGCATAAACCCTAACGAGAGACGGTTCTGGAGGCCCGAGGGAACCGGACTTGTTGGAAGTGGCCCTCGAGGAGGCAGCGGCCAGACTGAGGGGCTGCCAGATGGAGGAACCAGCTTCGTGGCCCCGGCCCCAAGCGGCAGCCCTGGACATGGCCACGTGGGGCCTGAGCTTTAGCCACTGGGACCCTTTTCTCTGGAACCTCACTGCAGGCCGGCCCGACCTGCTCAGACCCCACCATGCTGCTGCCCACCGCTGTGACCCCTGCCACCCTCACCCCCCCCACACACTGAACCACCCTTCCTCTGAGGCCTGGGCCTGGCCTCCTGGCTCAGGGCAGCCCGGCAGCCCTTCCCTACCTGCCCTTGCCCCCTGCCCGCCTGAGCAGGACCCTGCCCCTGAGCAGGAGGCTAGGCTGTGGGGACAGCGGGTGGCCTGCATGCCTCCCCTCCCCCTCTTGCCCTTCCCCCAAGTCTCTGTCAACAAGTATTTATTGAGCTACCTGCTGTGTGTCGGTCGTGGGGTCCTGGGTGCTAGCATGGGGCACAGCATCGTTGTCCTCAACCAGCTGACGTGGCACGTGCCTGAGGGCCTGGGGGTCAGAGGCACCGGGGAGCTGCAGCTCACTGGGCCCCAGCATGCCTGGATGGGGAGGGAGAAGGGAGGGTCAGCTCCTGACTGTTGACCGCCGCCCCCCACCGGCCACTGAGCCCTTAGAAGACGGAAGCCCAGAGTGTCCCCCCACCCCCGCTGGACCCAATGTGCCACTGGCCAGCCGGCACTTAAAACCCTCGAGCATCCTCCCCAGGGGCCCTGGCTCCCTGTCCACCCTCGGTGGAGGGTTGGGGGGGACAGAAGCAGGGGTACCTGCTGGGTGATCTGGGTGGCCCCTCAGCCCCCCTTCTATACCCTCAGACAGCTCTGGACCAGCCCTTGAGAGGTCTAGGACAGGGATCCCCAAGGCAGGGTGTCCTGTCACGCCAGCCCTCATGTCCTGCTCCATAGTGGCCCCTTATGTAGGTCAGGAGCTAGGGTGTGGGCTCTGGGTCCCTAGGAGGACCTACCTGCTGGTCTCTCATACACACCATGAAGTGCGGACGTCCCCAGAAGAGTGCCCCAGGGCCTCTGCCTGTCCTCGTGGGCCCGACTCCCATGACCCCATCTCCCTGCTGCCCCTGAGCGTGGGCTGGCCCACTCAGAATCATGTAAACCTGGATGGGGGGGCCAGCTGCAGGGTCAAAAGAGGACAGCAGCCCCCCCTCACTCCCATCTAAGCTCTGGACCCCAAGACAGCTGGGCCGGGGAGTTAGTCCCAGGGTCACCCAGGGTCCCTGCCCCATTCTGCCCCAGGCAGGTACTCCCTCCCCAGCCGTGCCAGACGCCACCATCCACAATCACCGGCCTGTTGTCCCCGCTTCCAAACAAGGAAACTCAAGCCCTAGAGGCAGGGGGTCTCCTCCTAGGTGGAAATGAAAAGCCAGAGGTCCCCAGGACTGCCCCTCCCCTTGTGGGGAGCAGCCCCCAGCCACATGTTCTTGGGGAGTGGCCTTCTAGACCCTCTCTGAGCCAGATGCAAGGGTGTCCTGCCCAAGACACTAACATGTTAAAAAGAAACAAACACTTACCACTGGCAGGAGAATTTCTCCCAATGAGGCAGGAAGCTCATGGCCCACAGATGGTGGTCACTGTGCTGACGTCACAGGCCTTGGCATGCCGGGATGCTGGTGGCTGTGGCCTTTGGGCCGGCGTCCGCATCCCTCATGCTCCTCCGTAGAGATGTGGGCAACCCACGGCCTGCACAGCTACACACGGGAGGCCGCGTTCCCAGAAAACGACAGCACCATTCACAACTGCACGAAAGACGTGGCAGTGCTCACAGGGAAAGTGGGGTCAGGTGCATGGGCCCACAGCCCTCCAACCCGGGAGGGAGGTCTCCACGTGCTGAGGATCGAGACAGACGCCACCACCAGGAGGAGCATGGCGGGACGCAGGTGTGCGTGCTCTGTGTTTGTCTATTCTGTCCGGAGCAAATTCCACAAAAAAACCCAAGTTCTGCTCCAACGTCCTGCCCACTGACTGCGCTGCACGCATTTCGTCGTTTCAGAACAAGCATCACGGCACCAGGCAGGGGGCCCATTGCGGGCCTGGGGCCTGCCCCTGGTGAGGGCTCCCTCTACCAGCAGCCTCCTCGGAGCGCCCCGCGGCGGTCCCGCGGCGGGGGCCTGCCGGGGTGGGGGTGGGGGGACTCCACACTCCTTCCCCAACCCTGGTGGCCTGCACTTAGAACCTGTGACAAGGCAGGACCCCACTGGATTTGGGGTCTCGCGTTTAGAGAAACCACCACCTCATAGTTACACACCAATCACAAGACCCCGACACTGGCCACTCGTAGCTGCCCACAGCGCCCCCTGCGGGCGCGGCGGACACAGACCTGGCCACTGCGGATGGGGTCTCGGGCCCGGCTCCCCACCCGCCAGCCTCAGGAGCTCACTCAGAAAGGACGAGCGCCGCAAAACCCAGTATAAAGGATTTATTTCAACTCAACAAGTAACACAAACCTTCGTTTAAATTCCATTTTACAGTCAAAGAGGGTGTATATCTCACTCCTCCCCATGCATGATCACTGTGTATTAATCTACAACTCTTACTTTAATTGTGAAAAAATAAAGTGTTTCCCTTCTCGTCATTGCTCTGCGAACATCTGGTACAGCGTCAGTGGGAAAGGGCACATCTGCTCGCTCCTGGACTGGTTACAAGGTTAACACCTACCACGCCAGGTCAAAGGAATCCATCACCCAGTGAAAATAAATACCACGTCCCGAAACGTGGAAAGGATCCTGCTCCCGCTGTAAGAGCTGCCCCAAGGGGTCGTGGCCTCAGTGTGGCCTGGAGCAGCCGCCCAGATGCTGTCGGGGACCCCAGGGGACATCTGCGCAGGGCTGGTGGGACGGCGGCCACCCCCATGCCACCTGCGACAGGGTCGGGCCCGCGGGCGCGCGCCAGACACCAGGTCGCCTCCCCAAGCAAACCAGACACAAAGGACAGGGAAAGAGGATGGTAGCGCAGCAAGGCCCGTGCTTTATTGTGGGTCAGTCTGGGGTGCAGGGCGGCCCAGCACAGCCGCTGCAGGCCCCGCAGCCCCGGGCCGGCGCCGAGGCCCACGCGGCCCCCGCCGCCTCAGGTGGGACCCCACGGCGGGAGCCCCGTGGCGGGAGCCTCACGGCGGGAGCCCTGGGGACGAGGGCGTCTTCATGCAGGCCAGGCGGGCGGGCTCAGTCGAGCTCAATGGGGCTGCTGTCGTCCTGACTGTCCTCGCCCTCCTGCTCCGAGGCGCCCATGAGGCTGCTCAGAAGATTCCCTGGAAGCAAATGCAGGTGCCGTCAGGGGCACAGCAGCTGCACGCGCTCGGCACCCCTGGCTGCCCAGGGAACCCCACCTGCCAAGCTGCCGCATTCCCGGGCTGGGACGGCATGAGTCCCAGGGAGTGCTCAGCGTGCCTGCAAGGACCTGGCAGCTGGCGAAAGACCCCGAGTGCCTACGCGTGGGACACAACCCGGCCACCGGACAGCCCTGGAGAACTGTCCTCAGAACCCCGTCCCGGGGAGGCCGCTGCGAAGCGGGCACGCGCGTGCGCATCACGGGTTCACGGAGAGGTTAGGGCGCGCTCCCAGGCGGAAACGGTGGGGCCGCCACCACTGACAATTATCTAATTTTTAGTCAAAGAACAACGATTCAATACGAACTCAGGAGATCAGAAAGTCCCCTGAAGCCAAACCACCATGAAAAGTAACAAAGAGAAACATGAGCAAGGTTGTCTGCACAAACTCAGGCCCGTGAAATTGGGTCCAACGAACACGCCACTTGCGGCCCGGGCACTGGGAGGGGCGAGGCGGAGGTTCCAGTGGGAAGTGAATGGGCACCGGCGTCGGCACCCCTGTGTGAGGGGCGACGGCGGTGACACAGCAACAGCAGCCCGGCTTCAGACACACGGCCCCGGCCAGGCCCGCACGGGGCTGAAGCACCTGCCACACAAGGTCCAACAGCCACCAATGACTTTCAAAATCATCTCAGACCAAAGACCTTTCCACAGAGCGTAGTTTGGCTCCAAGGACACAAATCCCACCCAGGCCAGCCCTGCAGGGCCCCCGGGGCAGGGTACTGCCTGGATCTAAGGGGGGGGCATCACGGAGCCTGGTGGGACCAGCAACCCCCGCCTCGCCCCCATCACCTGGGGCTGCCTCCACTCTGGCAGGAGCATGCTGGCATCTGGGTGGGGGATGCGTGCCCCTTGCACAGACCAGCCACCTGTGACTCCGCAATGTCTCCCCAGCAGGAAGCTGAGGAGGGAAGCCTCCGTGTTGTCGGGCCGCAGGAGCCCTCTCCGGGGCTGTCTAGGTGAGACTAGGTGCGTGTGGGTGAACGATGAACTCCGGGAAACACTATCAACTCAAAAATACCACCACATTCAGGCTCTGAAAAGCCACGTTCAGAAGAACTAAACCGGCCTCTGGCTGGTGGAAGAAGTCTGCACGAGACCTCAGAGAAGGCCAGACCATGTCGCCAGGCAAGGCAGACATGGGGCGGAGGCCTGGCCTCCAACACGCACCAGGACCAAGTCACAAAGAAGTGACCGTCCAAATGGGCCTCTGAACCAGTAAGGAGACTGGATCCATCATCAAAACTTCCCAACAAAGAACAGCCGCGCCCCGATGGCTTTCCTGGTGAGTTCTACTTAATGACCAACACCATCCTTCCCAAACTTTTCCAAAACAATCGAAGGGGAGGGAGCACTTCCCAATTCATCCAACACGGCCAGAAGAACCTCAGAGATGCTATGAGAAAATCACAGACCAGTGACCCCTGTGAACACGGAGGCTACACCCTCAATGGACCTCTGGAAAGCGGACTCAGCAGCACAGTGAGGACGACACACCACAATGAGCAGCTTTACTGGTGGAACGCATGGAGGGCCCCCCTGAAAACCCACCAGCGTGACGCCCCACGCCAGCACAATGAGAGGAAGCCCACACGATCGTCCATCTCTACTAATGCAGCAACAGCGCTGGACTAAACCCGACGCTCGCGTACAAGCACTCAGCAAACCGGGAACAGGAGGCGCGACCTCCACACACTGACAGCCGTCTCGGAAACCCCTCGGGCCAATGTGATCCTCGACGGTGAAGGACTGAGAGCTCCTCCTCGGGGAGCGGGAACGAGGGGAGGGCGCCCGCCCTCACCACCTCCATCCCATACAGTCCTGGACACTCCGGCCGGGGCCACTGGGCATGAGAACGAAGGAAGAGGCATCTACAGCGGAAAGGAAGGAGCAACACGATCTGTCTGCGTAGGACATGGTCTCATATGCAGAGAACCCGAACACTCCAGGAAGGAGCTGTCGGAGTAAGGGAATCCGGCAAAGGAAGGGGGCACAAAGTCAGCACGTGAAAACACGCTGCGTTTCTTTACGCCAACAATGAACAATCTGGAAAAGAAATGATAAA